AACAACAACAACAACAACAGTATTCCATTGTGTGTATGTACTACAGTTTGGTTATCCATTCCTCCATTGGTGGGCACTTAGGCTGTTTCCATCTCTCTGCTATTGTGAATAGTGCTGAGATGAACATGGGTGTGCATATTGTGTCCTGGCTCTCACTTCTTTAGAATGTATACCTAGTAATGGGATTGCTGGGTCAAATGGTATTTCTCATTCTAGCTTTTTAAGAATCACCATACTGCTTTCCACAGTGGTTATATCATTTGACAATGCTACCAGCAATGTATGAGAGTCCCAGTACATTGTCTCTCCACATCCTCACCAGCATTTGTTATTTTCTGTCTTGTTGCACTTTGCCATTAGTGCTTGGGTGAAATTGTATCTCATTGCTGTTTTGATTTGCTTCTCTCTGATGGCTAATGATCGTTGGCATTTCTTCATGTATTTTCTGGCCTCATGAATGTCCTCTTTGGTGAAGTATCTATTCATGTCTTCTGCCCATTTTTTAATTGGATTGTTTGTCTTTTTGTTGTTGAGATGTTGGAGTTTTCTATAAATGTTAGAGATAAGTCCCTTGTCAGATAATGTTGGTGCCAAATATTTTTTCCCAATCTGTAGGTTCCTTTCACTCTTTTGGAGAAGTCTTTTGAAGCACATAAAAATTTAATTTTTAGAAGGTTCCATTCATCTAGTTGATCTTCAGCTCTTTGTGCATTTTGTTTGTGCATTTGTGCAATGTGCCTTGACAATCTATTTATGTCATGAATTAGGGTCCCTAAGTTTGCCCCTATTTTATCTTTTATGAACTTCATAGTTCTAGGTTTCACATTTAAGTCTTTGATCCATCTGGAGTTAATTTTTGTTTATGGTGTGAGGTATGGATCTTGTTTCATTTTTCTGCAAATGGATATCCAGGTTTCCCAGCACCATTTGTTAAAAAGACCACCATTTAATGGTTTTTGGCCCTTTGTCAAAATCAGGTGACCTGGTCCACTAGTCTGTGTGTCTATTGTTGGACATGTACCAAGCTGTTTTGACTACTGTGGCATCCTGCATTAGTTTTGCAGCAAGTCCTTATAGAGGCAGTGGGCACCCCGAGCAGCAAGAGGGGCATTGCTAACCTACACTCAGCATCAAGCTGCCATAGCTTTGAACTATGTCTGTGAACACTATATGTTAGAGTTATTTTAGGTTTTATGTGTTGTCTGGTATGTTTGGTGGGTTATCTTTTGGACCTAGGAATGTTAAAAAATCTTTCCCATATAAATTAGTGGTAATTAATTTGCTTTGTGCCATTTTGGCTTATGAAGGTTTTCATAGATATGCTCTACTTTCAGCTGGAGGTGGGGGGCAGTGTATTGTTTTTCTTCATAAGAAGTTAGCTTGACTTCCAGTAAGATAGAGGAACAGGCAAATAAGCAACACAGACCCTATTCAACAAAGAAAAGAAAAACCAATTGACAGAGATACAGAAGATAATTCTGAAGCCCTGAGCTTTGAAAGGAACTATACAGAAGTGGATTAGGCACTAACTAGTGGAAAAACCTGAACAAAAACAGTGAGTACAGAGACGGTTGGAGCTGCGTGTGGACTGTCAGCTACTCTGACGGGATATTTCCAAGTGGTGTTAAGACCTGAGAATTGACCTAAAAATCACCCAGGTCACCAAAGGCTACAGGGACAACTGCACTGGTGGCCTATGACTAGAAAAGGTAACAGCAAGAAGGGAGACAACCTAAGCTGTTGACTTTCCACTGTCTGGAAGGCGCAGCCATTTTGAATGTTTACAAGTGGCAGCCATTTTGGATATTTAAAGTGACAGCATTCTCATTCAGATTCCAGGGAAGGTTGGGCAATCTACTTCCGTAGTGATACTGCCTCAGAAACCCAAAGAGGGGTTGCTATGAGTCGGGTCTGCCTCGACGGCACATAACAAACAACAAGAATAGGCTCTGTTTGCCAAGGTCGGTAGGGACATACAAGAGGCTGACAACGGGAAAGGAGACAGGTGATGAGTGTACAAGTGCTGTCAACTAGTGAATAGAGGAGTACAGCACGGTACCCTACTTGCATAGATAACATACAAAGAAAACGAAAATCGTGGGCAAGTCACTCCAACATACAACCACCAATTAAATATAAACACAAAAACTCACAGTGCCTCGGAGATAACAGAGCATCACAGTCCACACAAAGAAGCAAGATAAAGCAGGAGAAACAAAGGACCAGGATAGAGACCCGAAACACATCCCTGAGGAAGACGCAGCATTGGAACTCCCTGATAAGGAATTCAAAAGAATTATATTTAGGTATCTTTAACAAATTGAGAGACAGACAAGGAAAATACTGACAAAATTGAGGAAAACAGAAAACCCTACAACAATATTGAAAGATAATACAAGAACAAAATGACAAAATAAATGAAAAATTAGAAATGATATAAAATGTACATACAGAAATCCAGAAGATTAATACTAAATTTTCAGAAATAGATAAGACATTGAATGGCCAAAGGACTAGAATTGAATCAGTGGAAGACAGAATTAGTGAGATTGAAGGCAAATACCTGAACATTTCTTTGGAAAGGGATCAATCAGAAAAAAAGATCAAAACAAAATGAAGAAAGCCTAAGGCTCGTGTGAGATATCATCAAATGGGATAACCTACGTGTCATCGGAATTCCAGAACAGGAAGAGACAAATAAAACCACGGACAAAATTGTTGAAGATTTGTTGGAAGAGAATTTTCCTGGATGATGAAAGATGAGAATATATCCATTCAGGAAGTCCAAC